CAAACAACTGTTTGAATACAAGTTTTGCTTACAATAATATTGCTTTTACACAAGCTGAATATGTAAACTATTTTAAGATCAATGACTAAAAATATGAAATCCATGAACAACACTTTGTGCGTAGATATTTCGTTGATTGGCAGCTTTCTCTCTTAGTCTTCAAGATTTTATACAACCAATAATATATCCGTTGAGGGATACTCTTGGGATTTCTAGAAACATTGGCAGCTTGAGCAATAACGTGGAGGACAAGATCGTGCAACGCGTCCATCCTTTCATGGTAGTGGAATGAAATGTTGATTGTACCATATACTATTTGTACCATGTTAACATTATCTTTTTTCCTTCTGCACTAAAGAGGCTTCTGGAATCATGAGCTTAGAAGCGAGAACATAAGACAAGGTCATCAAAACTTCAAGTCTTCAGAGTCTTTAGAACCGCGTCTTCAGAGTCTTTAGCACTTGGTCATGATAACCTTTTCTTAGAACCTTGGGTCTTTAGAACTTCAAGTCTTTAGAGTATTTAGAACTTCTATCTTCAGAGTCTTCAACACTTGATCTTTAAAACCCTTATCTTTAGAACCTTGGATCTTTAGAAACTTGAGTCTTTAGCATCTGGACTTAAGTAGAAACTTCTGTCTTCAGATCTTCTGATTGTTTCTTTAGAACCCGTTGTCTTCAGAAACATGAGTCTTCAGCATCCGGACTTAAGTAGAAACTTCTATCTTCAGATCTTCTAACTGTTTCTTTAGAACATGTTGTCTTTAGAAGCCTGATAACATTTTATAAGGGTTTACATTGATAAAATGAATGAATTTAAGGGACTAAATTGATATCATGAATAAAGTTAAAGGACTAATGTGAAACTATTTTACAACATATGTTATCAAACAGACCAAAATTTCATATCAGACATTCATGTACTGGTTTTAATGTTAGAATTTTTGGACTTTTGACCGGAAAGGATATATCAGAGTTGCATATCATAATTTCATTAAACAATAAATACATATAATAATTATGTCATTAAACCAGAATGTTTAACAAAGATCTTACATCAAAATAAACATACACTACAAAATAAGGTGTCAAACTCAAAAATATTTTTACACCAAACAGACAAATATGGTGTCATAACATCAAAATGGCATTACATAAGGTGTTTAGAGACACCACTACAATTAGTACTTGAAACATAAATGATTAACATAGTTATAGTTTGATGAAAATTGTTTTTGGTCCCTTTTAAAGTCTTTTTTCTTCTTAGGAAGAGGTTGAGTTTGGGGTGCTTTCGTTGGTGATACTTGACTTGAATTTGTAGAGTCAACTAGTGATGCTTGTTCTCCCTGAGTTAAAGGTGAATATTCAGCTGGTCGTGGTTAATTTGGGGTTGCTTGTGCTACTTGACTTGAAGGTGCAAAGTTTGATGGTCTTGATTGAGTTGGGGATGCTTGTGGCAATGGTATCTTGCATGTAGCCTTGTTATGATCATCCTTATGACACCTACTTAATTTAATTCCAAATCTTGTCCTCTTCAGTTGGGAATTCTCTTTCACCACACATCTACGAAAAACACATATAATAATGATTGTGAAACACATATAATGATAGTAGCACGCCCGTTGTTATGTAGTGTGTAATTGTACGCTGGTTACCATAACGGGCGTGTGACTATTGTCATAAATTATATAGCATGCTACATACAACCACAATTGTATCAAACAACTGTTGTTGTATGTCTTTTAATAAAATAAAAAGCAATAGTACAGTAACAACAACTAGAACAGTAAGAACAACAAAAAACAAGAAGAAGAAGAAGAAGAAGAAGAAGAAGAAGAAGAAGAAGAAAAACAACAATAACAACAACAAGTAGAACAACAAGAACAAGAACAACAACAATAATAACAAAAATAAGGACAATAACAAAACAACAACAATAATAAAAAAATGAACAACAAGGACAACAAAAACTAACATTGTTAACTTGAATCCATACTTTCCTTGTCTCATTCATGTTGGAGAAGAGATGATGAAGTTTTGAAATTTGTTAATGAAAGAAATGATATTTTCGAGTTTTGTTTATGGTAGAAATGATATTTTCGAGCTTGCTTTAGTGGAGAAATAGAGCGTCGTAAATAAAAGATGATGTTTGGAGGTAGAAGATGAAGTTCGTTTAAGTTGAAAGTTCGTCTAAGTTTATGGTTTTACGCGGACCATTAATGGTAATGTCTTGAGAATTGATAGTCACTAAATGGACGACCACGATATGTTTAAGGACGATGAAGAAACTCAATAAACACACTTATATTTCCCCATGACCCCAAGTGACTTTTCACCAAGGTTAGAAGTTCCAACCGTAGTGAAAAGTGGCTTAAAAATATATAAAAAAAATAAAAATGTAGGTGCTAGGATTCGAACCCATGACCCTGAGTGACTTTTCACCACGGTTGGAACTTTCAACTGTAGTAGTAAAGTGAATAGTGTGCTACATACAATAACAGTTGTATTAAACAACCATTATCATATGTCATATAATAAAATATAAAAAATGCAGCAGAAGAACAACAACAACAACAACGAGATTCGAACTCATGACCATGCACCACTTTTTATCACGGTTGAAACTACCAATTGTGGTGAAAAGTGGCTTAAAATTAAATATAAAAAAAGCTCAGAAACGATATATTATCACGGTTAACAAGGAATTCATTGTAATATTGTTTTACGAAAGGTATTTTCCATAGTAATGCCACACTCTAGCCTCCTTGTTCCTCTTCTTCTTAGGCCTATCAGGTTGCCTTTTAATGGGTGGTGGTTGGAGAACAACTAACTTCATTTTCGTCCACAGAGTTTGCCCATTGACTAGATACAATACTGGTGCATAACAAGCCTCATAACACTCTTTCTTTTATAAAAGTCAAACATAAAAGCGTCAATGTCTAATGGTTCATCCTTCATGCATGAAATAACATGATAACAAGGCAATCCTGTCAGCACCCATCTTCTACAAGAGAATTCATTTCTTGACAGGTTAATTGTGTACTTTTCTCTGTTATATGATATATGTCTAACCTCATAGTCATGTTCACTTGCACGCTTGTATAACATGTTGAAATCATAATTCAGTCACAATTGAGTCACCTAAACTAGTACATAAGTTACAATGGATAACATTTACTTAACAATCCAGTGGTTTATTTTTTGTGACTCCTTTGCTAACCTCTTTTTGATATTGGGTAAATTGTCACCTTCATACTTGGAAATCTTCTGCTTATTTGACTTCCATATAAGCATAAGATAAACTCTTATTTCTTCAAGCATAGTTACAATAAGCTTGGCTCTTGCACTTACAAACACTGAATTGAATGCATCTGACAAGTTGTTCACTAAAGTGTGACATCTTGGATTTGCGTTGAATCTTAATTTGCTCCAGAACCTTAGTGGAATATTTCTCACGTGCTTGAAAGCCTCCTCGTTAATATCCTAATTTCAAGCATATCCTTTTCCAAAGCATTTACATATAAATGTACGTATAAATGATATCAGATTAGGAAAGTATTGACTTTTCAATGATATCAGATTGTGGCAGTGGATATAAGACGTATAAATGCACATTCCCATTAACCAATGCAATAGTTTTCATGCTCTTTGCACCCATGTCTTCTTTCAATGGAACAATTTAATTAATATCAACTACATCATTATACCACAAGCTCACCACTGTTGGATACCCTAATTCTTTCAAACCACTCAACACATCAAAATAGTTGCAGTAATCAGGGTCACATTTCCAAACCTCTTCTAACCCTTGATAACCTAATTTTGTAGACTCACTAAGCTCTCATGTATGATGCATAACACACTCAAAACTATTATCCATTCCCTATTCAAGATGAATAATATATACATAATATATTATGAAGATGAAACAATCATAAAGTTATGATTTTTAACATGCTATAACAATGTTAAGCTGCAGAAATCAAATAGTAAACTTTCTTTAAACGTACCTTTTGAAGAATGGGAATAAACAATGTCTCTTTTTCAACATCTTCCTCTTCTGGGATTTCTAGGGTTTATCACTTCTCTTCATCTTCACACTTCATAAAACTGATTTTTGTTGACCCTCACATGTCCGAACAATAATTTTCGTCTACGTACACATTTCACACCATAAATTTTTGTCTTTCTGGAGAAGCTAAAGTTTCTTTGTCATTCTCACGTCGTATTCTCTTCGTTTGTCTTTAACAATGAATTAGGGTTTGTAACTAAACGTGTTCCTATTATTAACATTCATAATTGTATATTGCAAAAAACCAAAAGTGTCATGTCAGATAAATATATTCAGCTAGATGGCCACATCAGCGAAACTTAATGTTTTTTAACAGAATTTGACAGGAAAGACCAAATCGGCTAACAAAAGTGTTTTTAAGGGACTAACTTGTAACCTATTTTAATTAAGGGACTAAAGTGAAACATTAAATTAAGTTAATGGACTAAAACATGTATTAAACCTTAAATTTTAAACCTAAATACCTTAACAAATCTATTATCAATACGAATTGTGTGAGAAGCAATTATATAATGAATATTGAAGGTTCACTCGTTAAGAAGTGTTGGAAAAAAAACTCGTTTTACAATGGCGAAAGAAGAAGATGTAACACACGTTCATTATAACTAGTTGAGAAGATAATTGTATTTGTGGTCGTTCTAACTGATTGGCCGGAACAATATCTACACCAAAAATTAGTCAAGAAATTGACGTATGTGGTTTATATATCAACTTACAAACAACTACTTTGTTTTTATTTATATTTCATTTGAGAAAAGTATACAATTGGTTAATCTGAAATTAGGAGTCAACTATACTATTATTAAATTCAAATTAAATATTATTGATGGAAGTAGTATATGAAGACCATAAGCTTAACCGTTTCAAAACTCTCAACTATAAAACCATTGCCATTGCCTCATATATCTCACAAACAATTTTCAATCAACATGGGATTCTCCAAAACCTCTCTGTCTATTTTCTTGTTCTTCCTTTTATTTTCTTCATCTTCTGCAACTTCTCGCATCACTCATCAACAGCTATTGCCAGCAACAAAGTTTTCACCAATTCAACGAGCTGAAAAGCTTATAAGAAGCTTTAACTTATTCCCAAAGGAACCTGTTAATATAATACATGGTGATCATTCACTCCATCATTTTGTCTCTGGAAAGATCGTAGAGAAGAAGTTCTCGTTTTTCGGTGAATCTGATGAACCTTCTGTTGATGATCTCGGTCACCATGCCGGATATTATTCCCTTTCCATATCTGCAAGGTAACTAAATTGTAAAAATGCATTTTGGAATTAATGACGATGTAAACATGTTTGAATATTATTTTAAATGGTTGATAAAGTGAAATGTCACGTGATGGTGAGTTAAAGTAGTTTGCAACAAAAAGCATTGTTTATGTTGATGAGATCCAGGTCAAAAGGTTGTTGTGCAGCTTTGTTCTTAATATACACTTAGCTGTTTTATTTTTGTATTTTTTTATTTCCTTGGCGATATTTTCAATATGCATGACTACAGTAACAGATCTTAAGGAATCAACCATTGACATTCTCTTAACACCTCACATGCACATGTTGGTTATTTTTGTTTGTTTATTGAATTGCAGGATGTTCTATTTTTTCTTTGAATCAAGAAATGGTACTAAGGATGCACCAGTTGTGATATGGTTGACAGGAGGACCAGGTTGTTCCAGTGAACTAGCTTTGTTTTATGAGAATGGTCCTTTTAAAATCAACAATGATTTGTCTCTTTCATGGAATGACTATGGTTGGGACAAGGTATATAATATAGTAACATACCAAAGACATTGGTTAACAAGATAGAATCAAGTTGTTACACCAAATGTGTTTTCTTATTGATCCTAAATTGTTGTTTTTTCATATTGTAGGAATCAAATATTATTTTTGTTGACCAACCCATTGGAACAGGTTTTAGCTACAGTTCTAATGATAATGATATTCCTCATGATGAAACTGGTGTTAGCAATGATTTGTATGACTTCTTACAGGTGTACATAAAATATCATTTTCCAAATTAGAAATTTAAAAAACAATACAATGATGCATATATGTTGTGTAACTATACTATATGATTATTGTAGGAGTTTTTCAAGCAGCATCCTGAGTATGTTAAGAATGACTTTTATATTACGGGCGAATCTTACGCTGGACACTATGTTCCGGCCCTTGCGTCCCGAGTTCACCAAGGAAACAAAGACAACAAAGGGATTACTATAAACCTCAAGGTCTTACAATATTCTATTTATATTATGAATTCATGAGCTCGAGTTTTGATTCATGTTTTAATTCATATTCGATATAAGGGTTTTGCTATTGGTAATGGGTTAACCAACCCAGAAATTCAGTACCAAGCATACACTCAGTTTGCAGTTGATAACAAATTGATTACAAAGGAAGATCAAGCTGATATCAACAAGTTGATCCCACCGTGTTTGGATGCCACCAAAACTTGTGGTACAAAACTCTTTTTACATTTATACTCGCTCCGTCCCAAATTATAAGATAAATTCACTTTTTAGATTTATTGAATAATTAATGTATTTGATCTATATATAGAAGAAAGTTACAGAATTGTTTTTTTGTTGGATTTCTCAGAAAGTGAAGGCGGAGAAAGTTGCTTAACAGCCTTAAATCAATGCGATCATATAATGAGTAGTATTTTGTCCATTACTGACAACATTAACGTAAGAATCAGTAACGAAACAAACCTTATTTTGTTTTAAATATTTGTTTCAGTGTTAATTTAACAAATATCTTGTAAATTGCAGTACTATGACATCAGAAAGACATGCGAGGGACCATTGTGTTACGACTTCTCGAATCTAGAGACTCTTCTAAATAAGAAGACAGTTAGGGATGCTATAGGTGTTGGAAATATAGAGTTTGTTTCATGCAGCAAAGTAGTATATAATGCTATGCTGCAAGATTGGATGAGAAACCTTGAAGTGGATATTCCTTCACTTCTTGAAGACGGAATCAAGGTTCTTATATATGCAGGAGAATTTGATTTTATTTGCAACTGGCTTGGTGAGTGATATTGTCTAGCGTTTTAGGAAAATTTCAAACTCTTATTGTGTTACGCTAATTAGCTATCATATGATAGGGAATTCAAATTGGGTTCATAGCATGAATTGGTCAGGTCAAAAACAGTTTGTGGCATCCAAAACAGTTCAGTTTTTGGTTGATGGTAAAAAAGCAGGATTGTTGAATAGCTATGGACCTCTCTATTTTCTAAAGGTTAGTTTATACTTTGTATTTTACTTGGTCTTGACATTTTTGGCTACTTATATTTATGTGTTGTGTAACAGGTGAATGGTGCTGGACATATGGTTCCTATGGATCAACCAAAAGCTGCACTTCAGATGTTGGGTAACTGGATTGAAGGGAACCTGAACCAGACAAGCGTTTAACTTCTATGTAAATTGATACAAACATGTCAAGATTAAAATCAAAACATCCTTTATTGATCACAACTTTTTTGTGTACATGACTTAATGTATGCTATATTTGGATGGTGAAATTTTATATTTTAGAAGTATGTTGAGAAAATTGTTTTTTATAACTATTAGTATTTTGTAATTGAGTTTTTTTTAGAAAAACGAAAAAAGCAAGAACGAGATTTTTCACTAAATGCGAAAAAATTGAGTTTTATCGACAAACAAAAAATTAAGTATTTTCCTGAAAAATAGAGATTTTTAATGAAATACGAAAAAACTCTAGCTTTTCCGAAAAACGAAGAAATTGAGATTTGTCAGGAAATATGAAAAAAAATTGAGTTTTATCGAAAAACAAAAATCGAGATTTTCCTAAAATACGAAAAAAATGTGTTTTTAAAAAAAAACGAAAAATTGAGATTTTTCAAAAAATACGAAAAAATCAAGTTTTATCGGAAAAACAAAAAATGTATAATTTTCAAGAAATACGAAAAAAAAATTCAAGTTTTACCAAAAAACGAGTTTTTTCAAAAAATAATTTTTTTGAAAAATTTGAGATTTTTCGTGAAATACGAAAAAAATCGAGTTTTTTCAGAAATATGAAAAAATCGAGATTTTCCAAAAATTAAAAAATCGAGATTTTTCAAAAAATATGAAAAAATAAGGTTTTCCGAAAATACAAAAAAAAATCTAGTTTTTTTAGAAATAAGAAAAAATCAAGTTTTTTCGAAAAAACGAAGAAAAAAAATTAGAGATTTTTCAAGAAACACGAAAAAAAATTGAGTTTTTCAGGAAAAACGAAAAATGTCGAGTTTTTGGAAAATAGGAAAAAATTAAGTTTTTTCAGAAATACATAAAAATCGAGTTTTTCTAAAATAGGAAAAAAACCTTTTTTTTTTGGAAATACGAAAAAAATTGAGTTTTTCGAAAATTCGAACAAATTGAGTTTTTTCAAAAATACGAAAATTCGAGTTTTTTTTTCCGAAAATATAAAATACGTAAAAAAATATTTAAAAAAAATAAATATATTTATATTAATTCTTTTGATGGATGAATGTTCATCCATTAAAATGATGTTAATGGATGGATTGAATTGAATATTTTTAAAGAAGTATTAATGGATAGTTAATGGACTAATGAATTATTTTGATCCACTCATTAACAATTCAATTCATATCCATCCAATTCATTGATTTTGCCACCCCTTATGCAAAACACAATCACATGATAACACTTATTAACAATATGGAGAGAGTGGGAAAAAGAGAGTTAGAGATAATAGGGTACAATAGTGGACTTGTTTCATTAAAAACCCAATTGATTCTTTATATAACATTACATCTAACCAACTAAATAGAAAAACAAAATTTTCAAACTGGTAATTGGTTACATATTTTTAGTAATCGATTACGAAAAGTCACTGAAAGTTATGGTAACCGATTACACACTTCTGATACTGTTGTCAGTATTTTCAATACAAATATTTATATTATCGTTTTCCTCATGGATTGGTGTGATATTAATTATGTTTTATAGTTTGAGTGTCTTTAAGTGTTTGAATCATAAACAAAGATTTGATATTTTCTTTTAGTAACAAAAGATTAAGTTTCATGCACTAGATGTTGATTTGGATAAAAGAGAGATTGTTGTTTGAAAATGTTTGTTTTGATAAAAAGGATGTCAAGATTAGTTTTCATCAACCTATTCCAAATTTATTCGATTAACCTTGCATATGAACTAATCAATGATCAATAGATTCATGTATCCTCTCAATATTTCTCATGTCTAAGCAATATTGTGAGTGTTATCATGTTAATTATTAAATGATCTCTCAATCTAACTATTAACATGATAATCTTTAAAGCTTGATACAAGTGAATACTAACTCACAAATCTATGTCTAGAGCTTGTTCATTAGTAGATGAATATCTTAGGTCAAGCTTGGAACTTACTTTTCAATAATCAACCAACCCATAAAAAGAACAATGATACAAAGATATTCAACATGTATTAATATTCAACCATGTTCATATACAAAATTATTAAAAGAAATACATCAAGTCTAGGTTGACTACTTCTGACCTTGACACAAAAAAGTGTTTAGCTACTCATGATCATGATACCTTGCTCAATGAATAAACAATGAATGTTGATGAACATCAATCTTCAAGTCTCCTTGATTCAAGATGCAAGAGTGTTCTTCTTTTTCTCCTCTCCAAGAGATAAGAATAAAAAGTGTTTTTCTATGTTATAATGTTATGATCCATAGAACAAAAGGTCGCTACATTTACAATCAAATTTTTTTCCTCCACAAGATAAAAGTTGGTGAAAAGTTTCCATAAAAGGTGGCAAAAAGTAGCCAAAAGTATGGCCATCTGTGCTCCATCACCGAGCGATCCTGGTAGATGCCACATGTGACCAGCTGGGCGTTATAAAACTCCAAAAGAGCATCTTTCATCTCTCGGCGACAAGAATGCTTTTCCGGGTGATCCTCCTTTCGCCAGGGGATCCAGAAGCGAAGCAATACAGAATTGAACCATCTTTTTTCCACCATTTTCACCGGCCGATGCATCCTGTCGCCAGGCGATGCTTTGCAGAATCAACACCTTTGTTCTTTTTCTTAGAAAGCCTAAATTCTCCCTTTGGTCATCTTTTCTGCATAAATTTTTTGCTGAAACACTAACAAACAAATTAAACACTCACAATTCTTTGTACACAAGCAAAATGACTTAAAATAAGTATTTAACCTAATCAAAAGTAAAATAAAAGGTTTGAAAGTGTCAATAATTGATATGAAATTTACGCAAAAGTTGACACTTAACAGATACCTGGTTACGAAGAGCTACTGAAAGTTGTGGTAACCTGTGATAGTCCCGAAGTAACCGGTTACGACCACTTGAATTACTATTTTTTCCAACATCCCACCTTAATTCAAGTCTTCCGTACTCATGTGTTTCTTCAATCTCTTAAACGCTTTGATTGCCACTCCTTGATTAGAAAATTAGTCACTTGATATTCACTTTTGCAATACCCTAAATTCAATTTTCCTTCACTCACAAGTTCTCTCAAGTAGTGAAATCTCATATCTATATACTTGTTTTATGCATGTACAATGGAATTCTTGGCGAGGTTTATAGAGGAAATATTATTTATCATTAATGTCACAACTTCATTGTCTTTGCTGCATAATTTCTTCATCAAATTCATCAACCATACAACTTGACTCACACACAGAAAGATGTTACACTGCAATGTACTCAGGCTCGCAAGAAGAGAGCACTACAACTTGTTCCTTTTTAGAGCACCAAGAGATTGTTGTTTCTCCATACATAAAGATGTATTCAGCAGTAGATTTTTTTGTCTTCTGTATCTACACACCAATTACAGTGGGTATAACTAAGTAATTTGCAACTTCTACCTCTGTCAACTGCAGGAAACATAATTCCGCAGTCAATCGAACCTTTAATGTATCTCATAATTCTCTTGACTGTTACGAAGTGTGATTCTTTCAGCTTCTCCATAAATCTTATCACTACGCCTATGTTATATGTCAAGTCTGGTTTCATACTGAACAAGTACTGCAATGATCCAATCAGCCTCATGTATTGCGATGGATTAATATGTTTCTCATCTTCGTCCATTGACAACTACACCCACTACTATAAAATATATCTTTGGTGAAACCATATTACTTTGACCACCTAGTTAAACGTAGTAATAACTAATATTTTATCACCTTAATTTTTTAATATTTTATTACAATACATTTTATCACGTTGCAGTAAAACAATCGTTGTGTTATAACAAAGGTTATTTTCTTTGATTCCCAGCACCGACAATTTTTACTTGTTTTCGTTACAAAAAGAGGTTGTCATTATACTCTTATGAATATGTTTAAAAACTACCTATCATCACAATTAATACCAGTAGCCGTCGTGAATAGTACTTACATATTATCACAATTTATTCTAACAACTGTGGTGATATGTTTAACATTATATATATAAGAAAAGTTATCAACCTTTCCATTAGAATAATCGTCTCTCTCTTAACAAAACCATAAAAACGCTCTCTTCCACATCTAGCAAACTTGTCCTCATTAGCACCTTCAAACTTAAAGGTAATCAATTCATCTTCATAACCTTTCTTCCATGTTAATGATACGTTTTCTTCCTTTTTTTCTCAAAACAAAATCTTAACATTTCTCTCTAATGTAGTGGACTCGTCCTGAATACTTTCTTCAAACTAAAAGGTAATCTTCTCCATTAGATTTCTTACATTTTAGTATAAGTTATCTAAAAATTCCTTTTTAGATTATATTTCCATTTATGTTAAGATGGTGTTAATGCTAGTTTATATTTTCAAAACAAGTTAACATTTTGAATGTTGTTTCTATTTCGAAAGTTGTTAATATTTCGGTTGCTATGGAGAAGCAATATAAGAAATATGAAGCTATTTTGGTAGCTTTATCCGGCATATATTTTTTCTTCACAGCAACACAAATGGTTTACATAGATGTACTTCAGATTATTTCACGAATCTTTTCAATAAAAGGTGTGCTGTTGTCGTTATTGTTGATGTATGTATGTATGTATGTATGTATGTATGTTGTTGTTGTTGTTGTTGATAAATGGTTTGTGTTGTTGTTATTGATAAGCGTATGTTATTGATGTTGTTGCTTTTGTTGATAAATATTGTTGTTAATGTTGTTGAGTTTATTATAATGTATGTAGATTGTTTATTTCACTAACCCTTCATTGAACATGCATTCATTTAAAGTGATTTAGAAAATAATTATTTGTGAATTAAGTTATATTTTAAATGCAACTTAGATCATTAAATGTTTTTCGAATTGCATGTATCTCGTAATTCACATATTGCTCTTTAACACGTAGAAATTGGTTTATTTACCCAAGTTCTTCAAAGAAATGGTTCGTTCTCTTTTAGTTTATATTGCAAAACATCAAATTTGTTGA